GATTCTGGAGGGGCGCGGGGATTTGGAAGGCGCCCGAGGTTCTTGGCTCGCAATTGGGTGAGGGTTTTCCAGAAGGGAGCGCAGTAGGCGGCGAGTGTTCTGCGGATTCGTATCATGCCCGAGAAGATTGAATTTTGTCCGGATTTTTGCAGTCCTTAGTTGAATTTTCTCCAAAACAAAATATAGAAGCGCGCTATAGTTTGTCTTTTTGGCACTCAAATCGAGGCCGCCTTAGGCTGGTTCGAAGTGCGTTTTTGCGCACCTCTTCGCGAATCTGTAGGCGACACGCAAAAGCGGAAACGCGTGCACTTTTCACGCGAATAATCCGCAAAAAATGTAGGGGACACGCAACCAAGACACGCGCCGAAATGTAGTGGGCACGCACTGCAACACGGCAACAACATTTGACGCGGGCCAAGACCCTTTGAGGCTTATCCAGAAACTCGGGCGAAACAGTTTCAGAAATGAAAAAAAAAAGCATGGGGTTCGTTCAGGGGTACTCTTATCACTTAATAGCCAGACCGACAACACACACACCGAAAAGCACGACCACACCACTAAGAGCTTCACCACAGAGAGAACAACCGACAGAACAAATTGACCCAAGTCCATCCCGCGGCAGTCGTTTCACTCCAGCCGAATCACTAGACTCGCGGACCGATCCCACCGCCTTCCTCGCATCACCTCGCTACTCTCTCCCCCTGTCGACCCGCGCGCCCTCTCCCTGCCGGCGTCTTTCTACTGGTTTCCTCAGCTGTTGAACAAGTTCCAAGGCGTTCCGCGAAGTCTGGCACCCGCTGCCCGCTACATTGTTGGCAGTAGCGGAGAACCCCGAAGGGTAACGCAAACTATCTAGGTTGATGGCAAGGGGGGGCGAGTTTTTGTCTCTGCCACACGGTGGAGCGCTATAGGCTAGGCGGCCCCATCTGCGTGGTGCCAAGTGGTTCAGGACTTCACTACTCGCGATGTTCATACTTACAACATTCCCCCGCCTGCTGGGGTTGAGAAACGTCCAACATGCGGGGCCCATCGGGTCGCCCTGGCTCTCAGCCTCATGAAATTCATCACGATTGATTGTCTCTCATTTCATTTATCCCACACGCCAAACAATACATCCTTGCAAAGTGTTCACCCACGTCCCTTAGTGCTCATGTAAGTACTTCAGTCCTCGCACTTTCAACATAGCACTTCTCAACATACCACACCACGACACTGCTCCAACCTACAGAGTATACTAGTAGAAGACACGAGGACACGCGATCGAAGGGCTTGGGGCTCAACGATCCCCCCCTTCATTTTCTTAAATATCTTCTATCTCGGTGCCATGTATAGAGAACCCCCGTAGGGGAAAGAGGCACACACTGCGTTGCGCGATTCTACTTCATCAATTACCTCACTCATGTCGTAGCTTTTTCATGAAGTCACTCCTTCTAAAATTGATAAAATAAAACCGCTCTAAATCTGTGCACAAGGTTCAGCGATTTCTCCAAATAATGACACCGAGCTTCATCGTCTCAATTCTGTAGAATGTTGACAAGCAAGCTCTCGTATAGAAATAGCGCCGAACTTCGTCAGTTCGTGGCTCATTAGGAGACGCGTCCGCTGTCAGTTGCAACATTCGCCATATGTGTTCGCATAATCATTACGCCAGAATATCAAAGAGCTCTCGATAGATAAGAGGGGAAATCTACTAAATAGCTCAAACTTCAAACGAATGGAAGCGCGAGACCTGAATAACGAAGCGCCGGCATGGCTCGACATTTTAGGGCAGAAGTTTTCAAAGTTTCACGACGATCAAAAGACTTCATGACACAACATCGCTCTTCGTCATCAATCGGCATCAAGATTTCACTTAGTCAGAGTCTTCCACCTCCGCAACCTCAGCAGCTTCGTCACCACCTTGCTGCAGATCCTCACCATCATCAGACTCTTCCTGGTTTTCATCTTCGGCATCAGCTGCGCCACCGTTGATGGGTGCACTCTGGGCGGCCATGTTTATGCAGTGCTGCATCGAGAAACCTTGAGCAACAGGGGCGACACCATTCGAAGCAGCTGCTCTGGTTGCCTGGTCCACCTTGATGGCAACTTGCGAAATGCGATCCATGCAAACGAAATGCCAACGATTGTCGCACTCGTTAAAGGCCTTGCGAGCCTTGGCCACATCACCTGGAGGGGAGAAGATGGGACTTGAAACGAGAAGACGAAGAGATGACTGAAGGAAAAGGAGGTCTAGCGCCGACAAGTTCTGAATTGTTAAAGATGCCGATCTGATGGCGCTCGCATATCCTAAGACTCAACGCGAAGGATCTCAATAACCATCAGAGAGAAACAATACCAGCAGCCAACGCCGTATCCACAGCCTGCAGCATGGTCTACTTCGTCTTCGACATGAACGAAGTGAAAGCGGAGCGAAGCGGCGACATCTGCAACGTCAACACGCTGCCCCAACTTCCATTATCCCACTCCTCCACCAAACGAGCGACAGTCTCCTGCTGCGAACGCGCATCAATGTAGTCTCCGGCCACCACTTTGCACAGGTTGGCGATGAGCTTGGCCGCGATGGAGAAGCCCTTGACAGCGTCGCTGGTGAAACGGCCGAAATAGATCAGCAGATCCGCGACATCATAGTCGACGTTTAAAAGATGGCGCGGCGACGTAGTCGATTGATGACACAACGCTACACACTATTACACCTCCAAAGAAGAGCAAGAACATGGGCACGAGAGTAGTTGGCGACGGGTATCCTGCTAAAGTTTCCTGATGAGATCCCTTGACAACTTACAGCAATCATCTGACAAGAGCAACAGATGAGCAATCAGATGGGAGATAAGTTAGCACTTTAAAGCCGACACTGTCCTCGATCTTGATGCTCCAAACAGCACTCAGCCCCAGAGACAGCGGATGGGTAATCGCGATCACCAAAGCGCTGGCCAAAGTTTGGAACCAGTCAGGCGGAGGCGGCCACGCCGTCTTCCTTGCTAAAATCGTGCTAATTTCTGGGCTCTGTTCCACTTTTTGGGAATCCCAAGCACCCACAGAAACTCCCGCCCCCACATCCGCTGCTTACCCAAGCCCACCCCGAAACGCAACCACGGCCGAATTCCTCATCGCTAGCAACCCTTCCCACCCCGGCCCCAGCGCCACAAGTCACCCAGCTCCAAAACCTGCCCTACAAAAAGACGCAAGCCCGAGACCCTTCACTCCCCACCCAAATCCCACGGGGCGCACATTACTGCCGGACGAAGGAAGCACTGAGAGGCCAACCCAATACGACAAACGCCATCGCCAGGCACTCGCATCACGCTGTTGCCAGCGAATTTTTTTGGTTTCTATCAAAATCATAGAGAAGCATTTTTTTCTATGTCGATCCAGTGGAGGGTAGAAGATTGACGCAGGACTTAAGGGACCTGCACCCGCAAGAAGCTGCACGCCAAAGCATGCGAGCGCCATGTTTAAAAATTCCAAGAAGTTTTTTCATCGGGAAGGTGAGGGGCAATCTATGTCATGAAATGATTGATGGTAGTACATAAATTCAAACTACAAGTATGAAGATCGAAAAAGAAGAAGTTAAGTAAGGGGCTAACAAGTTGGTTGGGGTAGTGCTGTCTCTTGTAGGTCCGCAGACCTAACGCTTCAGGCTCCATGCTGGCCTATCTCCTCAGAATGTCACCACATCTTGATACCACAGCCGACAGCAGTACTAGATGCTTCTTCCGAAAACCACTCAAATCCACTAGTTCACGCAGGCAACAGGCTGAGATACCCACCTAGATCTTTGCACCTTTCACCGCAGCGAGGAGGCCACGGCTCTTCGCCTGCTGCTTTGCCAAAGCTTCCGCAGAGGCGGCCATAGCTGTGACCATCTTCACACTAGCCTCCCGGAACTTCAGGCCCATCGCTTCTGTGAAAAAGGCACCAGCATACTTCAACTTCGTCTGCAATCCTTCGGCAGCCGCAGCAGCTGTAGGTGTGTTGAGGTGTCGGACAATGAAGGGAGCACGAAAGTCAAAGAAAGTAAGAGTCCACGCCTAAATCTACAACGGGCACAAGGGTACGAGAAGAGTTAGTGAAGAAGGTCACTGCAAGACTTTAAGATGCCCAAATAAGAGAAACCACCCCGAGGCGAATACTAGCCCAAACTACACAAATCATAACCCACAGAACGGGGTTAAGTGTATATACCCGCATCTCCCGCAGTTCCGTTCGCCATAGCCTCAACAAGTTGGTCGAACTTGTTTAGGATCGGCTGTGTGTTCGTAGATTTCATGTTTTTGGATGCCGCCAGGGCACGCCCGAAACCCGCGTCAATTGCGTCTTCATTGTTTCCCGGTTCCATTGCCAGACGCATAATCTGCATGCGCGAATGGTGGCCACAGGTCACCCACTCGACCATTTTACGCGCAGCGCCATCCCAGAGTCCACCATACTGCCAGTTTGCCGGGATTGTGAACTCGTCCTTCGCTGCACGTAACAGCTGTTCTTGCGAGGCGTTGCAAGTGGCGGCGGATTGCTCAAGAGCGTCAACTTCTCCTTCTAATTCCGGCGCACCCAACTTCTTCAACTCGGCGAGCAGCTGGAACCTGGTGGATGGATGCATTGGAGCATAAGTCTCGACGTCCGCAGACGAAATTGAGAAACAACATCGCTCCCGAACAACTAACGACAACATAAAACGATAGAAAAAGAGACCCAAGGCAGAGACAGGGACGACTCCTACGGAAATACCTCGACGAAGGGACACATTCATAGTAGGGGACTCCACTAAGAAGATAAGAATATCTAACAACATAAATAAGGAGTAAGTACTTGGTAACATCCATCGGCAACACGTTCCCCAAAATCTTGCGAGCGTCTTCACGCGCGTGACGGATGTTTTGAAAGACGCTGACCCCCTGAAGGAACGCCGGCATAGCGTACCCAGACCCCTCGAGGGTCTTCTTCGAAATGAAGATCTCCGAGAGGTAATCGTAGCGCATCTTGATGCCAGCGTCACGAGTCGAGGCGAGCAGCTGCTTGTAAAAGCCAGCAGCCTTCGAGTCAACGCGCGCTTTATCCAAAGCGGCACCCAGTCCCTCGCTGAGTTCCTTCACCTCGTCGTTCGTCAGGTTCATCTTCGCCTTCTGGGCTTCAGCGATCGGCTGCGTCATCTGGTAGAGTTTGGCGTTGCGGAAAATTCAGAAGGAAGCGCGACATCTCAAGAAATTTCAGAACTGCAAATACGAGAAAGCTTCAGATCACAAAATCAGGAAAGCACGAGGAGACACTGTCGAAAGAGATGACTTACATCTACAAGGAAAACCACAGGGACCTACAGAAGTACCTCGAAGCAAGGTAAAGAAGTACCGTCGTCAGCTTTCTGTTCTGGTCAATCGCAGAGGCCTTCGACCGAATGGCAGACGCGTAAGCCTCAAAGATGTTCTTCGTCTCAACCTCCAGCAACAAGTCCCGCGCCATGGTCCAGTCTCCTCCCAGAAGGCGCAGCTTATTGCCTTGGATACGGGCCAACAAAAAGTCTGCAGCACGGACGGTGTGAGGGCAACAGGCTTCGAGCTCTTCCGAGTGCCTGGATTGTGTGGCGAGGAAGTCAGACGATTGCGATGAGAGTCATAACAGGAGAAGAGGGCGCATGTTGTCGTTTGTAATGCAATCGGAAAAGCGAAAAAGTCCAGACCGAAAATTACAACCACACAACAACTATCATAGAAAAATACCGCTCGCGGAACTCCTTCAAGCCAAGGCACTGCTCGTTGGCACGCGTGTGCAGCATCTTGGTCATCGCAGTCTGCAGCTTTCCATAGCTCTCCTCCTGCGGGTACAGAGCTGTTTTTTTGGGAGATGATCGATCACAAAGAAACAGAAAGCACCAAGATATTGATAGAAATATATCAACCACGGAAAGGACCTACTGATTGAAAACATACGAGCAGAATCTTCGACGAGGAGACGCATCCTTATGAAGAATACAAATTTAATAAGTACCACTCCCCTCTTTGTAAACCGCAAGAGCAGAGCGGATAAGTTCACTGTTCGCAACAGTGTCTCGACGCTTCAAAATACCGACTAGGCCCTTGGCTGGGTCCCACTCTCCCATCTCGTTGCAGCTGTGCGGGGCTCGATGCTCTTCTTGAGTGAGCTCAAGGCACCTCTCTGCGTCTGCTTCGTCATTGTTCACCACCATAGCAGTGCTGCAGGAGCGCAAAAGCGCCTGCGTAGTTGGAGAAAGATCAGCCAGTTGCGAATCCTCGCTGGTCGAGTCGAGATTCAGGGCTCCTTGAATAGCAGAAGAAGCTTCACCTGAAGAAGATCCAACGGGAGCAGCAACAGAAGAAGAAGTAGTGGTTGAGGAGGTCGCGCCAGAAGCCAGCAACATTTTGCCACCAGCAGAAGTAGATGAACTACTCGAAGAAGAGGTCGAGGAGCTAGTAGCTGTTTTAGGAGGCCCGGCAAGAAGAGCAGGTCTCTCGAGGGCATCTTTGAGCTCCTTGCTGTACTTCTTGCACGCCTCCGCATGCATCCAAAAAAATTTGATGCACTCACGCATCTGCTCCTCTGCATTTTCAGTTCCAAAAATCAGAGCCACCAAGCTGCGCACGGTTTTGCCAAATTCCAGAGCAGCAGCAGACGTGTCACCAAGAAAGGCCAGACGAATGGTTTCCCAGACCTTGTCCTTGAGCGTTAGGTTCTTGAACGTGGTGCGACGTTTGCCCAAGTTCCTCTCGAGGAACTCCACGGCCGTCATCTTCTGGCCAGGGTTGCCAAGGTCCTCGATCAGCGGCTTCTTGAGGGTTTCAGCCGTGATCCTCCAGTTCTTGGCGTTGCGGTTTTTATTGCGCAAAGCAGCCAACAAAGCCTCAGCCTTGGTTTCCGAATCGTCAGCCTTCAGCTCCTTAGCCTTGCGAACTCTCCCCGATTTGCGGCCATCACCTCCATTAAGCGCTGCAGAAGCGTCGACCTCCATTGCAGAGCCCTGTGAGAAGAGTTTGCTCGATCATAAGCCATCACAACACAGAAGAAGGAGGTGATTGAGTATGCTAGTACTGGTTCACTCACAAAAAAACTAGGCAAACTATGACACACAGATCGAAGCCTGAAGCAATAGACTCTGCACCTAGGAAGAAAAGACGACACGAAACTACTATACGAAAACGAAACAGGAGGAGATAACAGAGAAAGATAAATGGTGGGCACTAGATTGCACAGGGAAAAGATGACGAAAGGAAACACCGACCAGGAAATAATAACTAGGAAAAAAATGTCTGGCGATGTGCTACAAAAGTGCTAAATTTCATGCTAAATCGATATGCTAAATCGGTATGCTAATTTTCATGCTAAGTTTTGTGCTAAATAATGCGCTAACTCAGTGCGCTAAAAAACATGCTAAATTTTATGCTAAATTTTATGCTAAATCGATGTGCTAAGTAACATGCTAAAAAACATACTAAAAAACATGCTAAATAGGACGCTGTCGAGACTGCTATTGGGAGTGCTAAATTTTGTGGTCATGCAGACCCCGAAGGGATGCTACCTGAGACCAAAATAGCGAAATCTCGTGCGAAGTCCCATGCTACGAACTTAGCAGGTCGACCTCGATTTAGCACCTCATTTAGCAGTGCACGACCACAATATTTAGCATACTCAAACCCCAAAAGTAGATAGTTGCTACCTGGCCTCCAGCAGCTCCAGCGTTCACAGCCTCGCCTTCCTTTGGCTGCTCTTCCATATTTACATCCGAGGGACAGACCGGAGCTCCAGATCCCTCCTCTTTGGGCGGAGTATCAACAAGGCCGGCAGCTTCTCTGTCGCGTTTGCCCGTTGGGCTGTTGAGAGTGTCGCCCTCAGACATCACGAAGTTGGATGGGTACTTGACTCGCGTGAAGCTAGTTGCTGTCGTGACTGGAAGAAACTCCTTTTACTATCGTCAGCTAGTGCGGGGGAAGATGTTGAAAATACGCGAAAAGAACCAGCTCCATGTAATTACGAGTACCACAATCGTTAGTCTATCGCCATCGCCTTCAGTTCTTGAAGATCTTGTCCTTGTGAAATTACTTGCCACCACTAGACCACCACTAGACTTACACCACACCCACCAGATTCTTATCAAACCTCATCTCAGGATCCATGCTCACTGACCAAGTGCTCCACCACCAGCATAGTGCGCACATGTGCCCATGCGCCGGAACTGGTTGAACATTGTTCTCACGCCGGGCCTTGAATAGTTCTCCCTTGAGCTCGAGAAATTCACGATCACGCTGAACATTTACTCCTAGCACTGCTGCAAACTCCTCACGAAGCGCCTGAGACTGCGCAGTAGGTGGCTCATCAGTAGCGAAACTAGTTAGCTTGTTCGCCTCGGCGAAGCGCATTACACGCCTGACCAAGAAACAGTGGCCCCGCACACGCTCCTCAGATCCCCATAATTTTATAGCACAATCGCGAGAGGCTGGCAGATCTAGAAGTTTATACTTTTCGCGCAAGGACTTGTTGACCACCTCGAAACGCCAAACATCCACTGCGACGCTTTTATTAATCAAAGTCCAACCACCACCACGAGGAAAACAACGCATAACGGGATCCGTCAGCGCTGCCTCATCACTATTATCTCCACCATCGTCTTCTTCTATCACAGCCGCAGCCGCATCCATAACGGCGCTGAGTTCTTGCCGGGCCTGTGCTCGTATGGAATTGTAGTCCTCGCGTGCCACCACATTATTCAGCGCCCCGCTGACGTCGAGGCTCCTGTTCCGTTTGATGTTTGCCCTAATCTGCTGCGCGCGCTTCTTGGTCTCCTGCCTTTGGCGTCTCTCTCCAGTCCGCGAATAAACAGACCCCGCCGCTAATTTCTCGAGCCCCGGAAAAAAAGGAAGCGCAGCTGCTGTGAGATGATGCGGGACACTCAGACAAGTGAGGGATAGCGTTTTCACGTGACCAGGTGGCAAGAAGAAGATGTCTACTGGCGTGCTCCACGTTGTCAGCTCCAC